TTTAAATTTTCTCAATTTTATTTTATTTATCTCCTCTCAATTCATATCATAATATTTATTATTCTTTGTCTGTTCTATTCCAGCCAACCATTTATTTTTCTTCTTTAAAAAAAGAAGAAAGACTTCTCCTGTACACTATATGGAGTATGATGCCTTTATCTCTTTCCCTACTTAATATAAAACACATGACATACATTGGGATTCTGTCTGGTACATTCTAAAATTATACTATATTATCAAAAGTAATACAAATCTATTCATTAATATTGATATTCATTCATATCTTAAACGTTTAACTCATTGCTTTTCAATTAAATCACATACTTTTGTGGGAGCCCTATTTTCCATAATTATTCCCCCCCCACATCACATATTATAGCTCGATATTTCATTAAAATGTTCCTCCCTTCTACTTCAAATCTCATTTCACAAAGAATTTCACTAATATACCATATTCTAATCATTAATATTAACAATCATTTATATCTTAAACATTTTATCCATTTCAATTAAATATCATGCCTTTGTGGGAACACTTATGCTTTCCAAAAATTATTACACCCCCCCCCCACATCACAATCTTGAATCATATTTCATTACAGTACTCCCTTTTTCTTAACCAAAAATTTCACTAATTTATATTAAATATTTTATCACATTTTAAGTTACATATTGTTTCTAATTTTCTATGATTACTTCTAAATACAGATATAAAAATGCAGTCTTATGTACCTTTCTAGAATCCCTTTAACAATAAGATTTATCCATTATCTCTAAAAAACTTTTGCTTCTTAACATCTTGCTCCCCACCATTAGGGCTTCTCATCCCTTCCTTTCTCTCTTGCTTCTTCTTCTCCTTGTCCTCTTTAACCCGTTGTCTCTCCACCTCCCTTTTATTCTGCTTTCCCCCTTTCTGTTGTTTCTTAACATAATGTCCCCTTTTCACCTTATTCTTCTCTTTTTGGGCTGTTTTTCCAGATCTTAAAGACCTTTTTTCCTTTTTCTCTTGCTTTTTCCCTTCTCCAGTCAAAGTCATTTGTTCATCAAAGATGGCTTCTTCTTCTTCTTTGTCCCCATCACCCTCATTCTGCTTCACATAAGTATAAACCACCATTTCTAAGTATTGAAAAATAGTGTCAAGACCATCTTCCCCTCCTTGTTTTTCTCTTTCATATTTTTGATATATAAGTTTCAATCCATCCATAGATGATGCCATTGTGTAGAGAAAAAGTTTTTCCAAACAACCACCCAGATGTTTTAATCAGAAGTAATTTCCAAAGGTTCCAAAATCACCAAACAATCCAAACAGACTATTTCTTTTAGATACCTTCTTCTTCTTCACTTTCTCTTTCTGAGGTTAAAGTAATCACAAATCCTTTTCAAATATATTTTTTGGAAGTTTTTTAATGTTTAAGAACTCTTTGCAATTCTAGGCAATCTTCTCCTTATTTTCAATTTTTGCTCTAGTTTTTTTTCACTCTCCCTTCCCACTCACAGCCAAAAAGTTTTTTTTTCCCCCGCTGTCACTTTAGGAAGGAGAGTAGAACAAAGAAAAAACTTTCCCCTTTAGAGTACTCGCAGCTTGTAACTCTCACAAGGAATAATATATACTTAGCAGCCTTCAAGGTTCCAGGTCACTTTCTCCCGTCTTGTCCCGGTTAGAAGCAACTTTCACTGTTCTTCTAGCTTTCTCCCTCCTGCACCTGCTTTTCCGGCTGCAGCTTTCTTCGTGGCGGCCATTGCTGACCGCCGTTCCTCCACCTCGGGAAAAGGGGGTTTAGCCGGCTGGGGAGGGGGTTTGCGGCACCCCCAAACCCCTTGCCGGATCCTCCCTGTCTTCAGCTGCCTCTACAGGGCAGCTATATCCCCCAGATCCAAATGGATCGGGGGAACCTTGGCGGCGAACGCAGCAGGGATCGTGCGGTCGCGAATCCCTGCCGCCGCCGAAAGCTTGCAAACCGGAAGTCCTCTTGCTCCCTCTTATGGTGGTTTTACAGCCGCACCCAAAATTACATGCTTTGCAGTTTAAAGTGACACACACTTAAATTCACTATCATAGTTTATATATATTATTTTACCCAAACTACGTTAGGTAACCATGTTATTCCTAACAAATATAATAAAGGAAAAGAAATACATAAAGGAGTGACTTCCAACCCTTGTCACAAGAAGTTATGCATACTTACAAGCAGTCCTCGATTTGCAATAATTCATTTAGTGACCCTTCAAAGTTACAATGGCACTGGAAAAAGTGACTTTATACTCCTTCCTTTCACTACTAACAGTCCTAATCTTTAATTTATTCAAATATTGTTGTATAGGATTTGTTTTTCTCTTCGTCTTTATTCCATCACAGAGAATTTAATGAGCCTCTTTTGTAGATTCAGTAAGGAAACATTTTCCAGGTCATTCTCCTTTTTTTGTCATTTGTATTTTCCCTTTAATTTTTTAATTGTCCTTTTCCACATCATTTTGCTTGGCCTGCCATTTATAATTTTACCTTCAGTACTTATCTTTTCAAACAAAATGTGCTCTACATCCAATCTGTCGTTCCTTTGTCAGTATCTTTTTTTTGGGGGGGGGGGGATTATCCATAGCCTTGTTACTTGGATTGCGTGTAAAAGTTTTATCTCCCCCCACCGACCCCCCCTAATTCTCCTTGCATGCAAAAAGAGGGCTGGATCCCCATCCCGGCACGTTTTAAATCCTTTCCCTCTCGTGGGCAATTCTTTCATCAGACAAGACCGGCTTGAAATTGGCCATTACTTCCTAGGACTGAGGTCTCCAAACTTGACAACTTTAAGACTTGTGGACTTCAACTCCCAGAATTCTCCAGCCAGGATAGTGCAGGTGTCATAAATACCTGCCAGTTACCAAGTGCCTGAATTTTGATCATGTGACCACGGGGTTGCTGCAATAGTCACAAGTGTGAAAACAGGTCATGTCACTTTTTTCAGTGCCGGTGTAACTTTGAACTGTCACTAAATGAATGATTGTAACCCAAGGACCACCTGTAGAACAGGAATCCCCAAACTTGGCAACTTTTAAGACTTGTGGGCTTCTGGGAGTTGAAGTCCACAAGTCTTAAAGTTGCCAAGTTTGGGGACCCCTGTCTTAGGAGGTAATGGGGAAAACCTCACAGATTTTACAAGCTTTGAGGGTCTCCTTGGCTGGGGCTGAAGGGAAAAAGAGGGGCTGGGGAAGAGGCCAGGCGAGGAGGGGAAAGGCCAGAGCTGAGAATAGGATTGTGTCTCCTTATTGGGTGTTTCATTTTAATATATGCCGATTAATGTACATTTCAAAGTGGCAATAAAGTTATTCTATGTCTCAATCTAAGGGTGGAGAGCACAGCACCTTCTAAAGAAGACAGTCTTGTTCGACTGCTGCGATGTCCTGAGATTTCTTATTGCAATCAGTCAGAATAGGGACTTTTGGAGAGACCTTTGGAGGTCTTCTAGTCAACCCCTTCCTCAAGCAGGAGATCCTATATACCATTTCATTCCCTTCTCTAGGTTTTGGATGGAAACGTTTATTCATTAGATGTCAACGTAGCTTGCTTTTTATTCAGGCTCTCAAGGAAGCAGAGAGAGAGTGGGGGAGAGGGAGAGGGGGAGGGAGGGAGGGGTCCTCTCCTCCCTTGTCCCCTAACAACAACACCCCTGCGAGAGGCAGGCTCCGAGTCTCGCGCCCTCCCGCTGGACCGCGCCAGCTGAGATCTCTGGGATCTCTGCGCAGGAGATCTTTCCAAACAGCCATCCTCTCCCCCAAAGGCCCGGGCTTCCCTTCTCGCTCCACCTGAGCCGTTGCAGGCACGTTGGTTCCCGGCTGCTTCGCGAGTTCGGGCTCTTGGGTCACTACTTCCCTCTCCCAGAACGGATCAGCTTCCTGTCGGCCAAATTAGATGGTCAAAGGCCTGGAGACGAAACCATATGAAGAACAGCTTCGGGTTTGGGGTCTGGCTAGTCTAAAAAGACGCAGGGGTCTCCAATCTTGGCCACTTTAAGCCTGGCGGACTTCAACCCCCAGAATTTGCTTGGCTTGGCTTTGCTGGCTGAGGAATTCTGGGAATTGAAGTCCACCAGGCTTAAAGTAGCCAAGATTGGAGACCCCTGCTGCAGAAAAAAAAGAATCAGGGGCGACACGATAGCAATTTTTGTTTATATTAAATATGGTTTTACATTGTGTAAGTCGCCTTGAGTCACCATGGGCGAATAGATTAATTAATTAATTAATTAAGTATGATTTGATTGCTTATTGTACCCTATGACTATTATTAAGTGTCATACCTTGTGATTCCTGACTCTTGATGAATGTATCTTTTCTTTTATGTATACTGAGAGCATTTGCACCAAAGACAAATTCATTGTGTGCCCAATCACACTTGGCCAATAAAAGAATTCTAATCTAAACAAACAAACAAACAAACAAACAAACATTCTAATATTTGAGGGGCTGCCACAGAGAGGAGGAAGGAGTCAAGCTATTTTCCAAGGCACCCGAAGGCCAGACAAGGAATAATGGATGGAAACTGAACAAGGAGAGATTTAACTTGGAAATAAGGAGAAACTTTCTGACAGTGAGAACAATCAACCGAAGGAACAGAAGTTGCCTTCGGAAGTTGTGGGAGCTTCACCTTTGGAGGCTTTCAAGAAGAGACTGGGCATACTTAAATCGTATAGGTTCTCCTCCTTGAGCAGAGGGCTGGACTAGAAGACCTCCAAGGTCCCTTCCAACTCTAGCCTATTTTATCCTGAGACAAGCGCGCCTGCGGGGAAGGCTCGACCAGCTCCGCCTGTATCCTCTCGCCGTCTCCGAGATGCTCCCGCCGGGGGAAGCGGCACTTTGCGCGCGCTCAGAGCCCCCCCTCCTCCCCGCGCTCGCCTGGCCGGGCCAGTGGCGGCGGGGGCGGGTTGGCAACGGGCGCGATGCCTCGGCGGAGGGGCGGCGCCGTCGGGGGCGGAGCGGGGCGGGCGCAAAAGCATGAGGCCGACAGGTGCCCGGCCAGCAAGCCGAAGCCCCGCTCAGACGCTCCCCGATGGCAGCCCCGCCAACCACCCGCTCCTTCAGCCGCGCCGAGCTGCGCGCCGGCTGCGCCCAGGGCTCCTGCCTGGTGCTGACCGGCCGCCGCCTCTACGACCTCAGCGACTTCGCGCGCCTCCACCCGGGCGGGCAGCAGGTGCTGCTGGAGCGCGCTGGCACCGACGTGAGCGCCGCGCTGGACGGCCCGCCGCACCGGCACTCGGCCAACGCGCGCCGGTGGCTCCAGCAGTACTACCTGGGCGAGCTGGAGTCCGACGGGGACGCCGAGCAGGTAACGAGCGCCGGGCGGTCACTCCCGGGCTTTCTTCAGCCCTCCTGAGGGATGCTGGGCGAAAGGCGAGGCTGCGGGTTGTCCCGCCGCGCGACGCGCCCCTCAGGCTGCCGAGCCCGGCTCGTCTTTCGGCCGTAAGCGGGGAAGAGCCGCGGGCCGAAACAGCGGCCGAAAGGGGCCCTGGCTGTCTCGTCCCCTCAGTCCCCGCCGCCTCGCCCTCCTCTGGCCCGGCCGAGCCTGAGGCGCCGCCTTCGGCCTTTCTGAGGCGGGCCCCCCTTTTGGGGGGGAGGGCGCGAGGGCTTCATCAGGCGGCGTTCTCTTCGGGGCCCAAGATGCCCCCAGGGGATTCTGGGAATTGAAGTCCACGGCTGGCAGGGGCACCCCCACTTTGGGAGGGCCCCTCCACCCCTGTAAGGCGCTTCTTGAACCCAGAGCCATAATTTACCAGTTAACTAAAGCAGAAGCCTGAACAGCTGCCTCTCTGAACAGCACTAGCTATGGCACTTAGACTTATATACCGCTTTATGTGGGACAGAACAGGTGGACTTCAACGCCCAGAATTCCTCAGCCAGCTTTGCTGGGAATTCTGGGAGTTGAAGTCCACAAGTCTTAAAAGTGGCCAAGTTTGGGGACCCCCGACTTAGATTTATATACTGCTTCAGCCCTCATTTAAGAGGTTTACAAAATCAGCCTTTTGCCCCCCAACAATCCGGGTCCTCGTTTTACGGACCTTACGCAAGGATGGAAGGCTGAGCCAGTGAGAAGCGCTCTCCAAGAGATAAAAACTCCAGATTCCACCCCGGTCAGGATTGGCTGTGCATGATGGTTTCCTGAGTGTGGTACCTGTACAATTTGGAGAGTTTATCCGGAGTGCCGTAGTGGACGAGTGTGGACGCCTGTTTATTTCAAGGGTTGCCCATTTCAGTCCCAGCAGCACTTCAAAGTGGTCCAGGCCAAGGGTCTCCAACCATGGCCACTTTAAGACTTGTGGACTTTAACTTCCAGAATTCCTCAGCCAGCTTTGCTGAATTCTGGGAGTTGAAGTCCACAAGTCTTAAAGTGGTCAAGGCTGGAGACCCTGGTCCAGGCAACCCCAGCCGTTTCGTCCTTTTTCTTCTGAACAGGGAGGGACTCAGTTGATGCCCCCCCAATCTAGAATTTCTATTTTCTGGGGAGCTTCATGGGGCACTGAAACCGTTTCAGCCATGAAGATTTGGTGCTGGAGATTTCTCCTAGTCAGGAGGCTGGGACGAAAGAAATCTCCAATTTAGTATAATTCATTTGTGGTTGACTTTTCTACTCCTTCCTCAGCTATCAAGGAGAGGGAGAAGATAGAAAGGAAGTTTGGGCAAGAAGCATTAAAAGCTAAAGAGGGAGGTCATGATGACAGATAATTTGGAAGGAGAACAAAAAAAAATGGTCCTTGTAAAACCAGCACTTCTTACCATGTTGCATGCCAGTGAAAGGGCTATGAGTGGATATGAGCATCATACCCAAGGCTTGTTTTTATGCGTGGCGACACCTGAAAGCGAAGTTTTAGTGCTTGAATTTCTTATAAACCATTTCTGCTCTTTCTTTACTCACAAACTACAAACTCACTATGTAGGTAGAGTGGCAGTGCCCCCAGGGTAATATTTCACTTATCTGTTACATGGTGTAGTCCATGAAAGTTGGTGCTGGAGTCATTCTTGAGATGATGAAAAATTGCACAATGGGAGTGGCAGGGACGCAAAATTAGTTTCATGTGAAGCTGGTGCATTGCCATTGTCTTGACATGGCATCTGTGGCTTCTCCTGGTGTGTGTGTGGTTTTTTTTTTTGGACTCTGTTGTCTAACCTACAGCCCTTTCCTTGTTGCCTGTATCTGCTGTGTTCACACAGGGGCATGGCCACAACAATTTATGCTCTTGCTTCAGGACAGGGCATGTGTCAGAGTTGATCATACTATCTATTGTTCAGAGCTGATTTCTTAAGGGTTCAGATAAAAGGTAGGGATGGGTGGAGTGCAGTGGAAGCCAATATGTGCCAGAGCAAACATGGAAAGGCTTGTGCGTGACACCTGCAGCAGCAGCAGCAAATGTGTTCACTAATGATTAGCTTCCTCGCTTGCCGGTTCTGACCTCTCCTGCCTTCCTGTGTGATTTTTTTTTTCTCCCTCTTGTAGTTGCCTTCTTCCCCTAAAATTGCTTGGGTTAGCTTGGGATTGATTGACTTATTATTTATTTGTTTCCATCTTGCCTTCATTATTTGTACAAATAAGTCATGATGGTGAGTTCCTTCCTCCTCCCATTTGCCCCACGACAACAACCCTGTGAGGTGGGTTGAGCTGAGAGAGAGAGGGACTGGGCCAAGGTCACCCAGGTGGTTTTCAAGCCTAAGGCAGGACTAGAATTCACTGTCTCCTGGTGATTGGCCCAAAGTCACCCAGGCAGCTTTCATGCTTTAAGATGGAAGTTGGACTTGGCTGCTGGGTGGCTTTTCTGTGTTTCCTCTTCCTCTGCAGTTAGGATTAATTCTGCGTGGAGGGAAGGGAAAAGCAGCACGCCAGGAAGAATGAGGTCCTGGGTTGAAAGAAACGTATTGGCACAGAGGTTTGTTACAAGCCACAATTATCCCCATAAGGTCTAGTGCAGGGGTCGCCAACCTTGGCAACTTGAGTTGAAGTTCCCACGGTTGGAGACCCCTGGTCTAGTGGTCAAGATCAGGGCTAAAAGTGATAGCTGATAGCAGTAGCACTTAGACTTATATGCTGCTTCACGGGGCTTTACAGCCTTCTCTAAGCAGTTACACCACTAATCAAAGTATATAAAGCTAAAGTAATCCCCATGCTCCTATATGGAGCTGAGGTGTGGGGTTTACACTCTATTACAGTTTTAGAACAAACACAGTCTCGGCACCTGTGGGTGAATAAAGAATATATCCTACGTTTGTATCTTAAACAGTCCCGTTCCAGTCAAAAATTGATTTCCCTCACAACTGAAAAACCAGTAGGCCAGGGATGGGGAGCCTTTTATGGCTCACTCAGGAATTCTGGGAGTTGAAGTCCATAAGTGATAAAAGAGCCAAGTTTCCCCACCCCTGGTGTAGGATCTCCTGCTTGGGCAGGGGGTTGGACTAGATGACCTCCAAGGTCCCTTCCAACTCTGTTGTTCTGTATTCAGGAGACTGCTGTGAGTCCTCTACTCTCCTGGTGAAGATGCCAGGGAACCTGCTTGTCAGTGAGCGCCACATTCCGTGTTCTTGCCCATATCCTACCTGTGCCTAACCGGCGCCTTTTTCCTCCCTCCTCTTCTTCTTCCTCTCTATGCCCTCTCTGGAATCCCCCATCTCCCCTTGTGCTTGCTCTGGCAGAACAAGTCCAGCCAGTTTCCAGGAGCCGGCTGAACTCAACAAACGGGTTCTTATTCTGCTCCCTTTTGAAATGCCAGCGGTGGTGCAAATCTACGAGCCCGTTGACGAGGCATCTCAAGCATACAATTGCCGCCTGGCACCAAAGGGGCAGCTTGTCTGCCTCCAGCTCAAGCTGGTGCCCCTTGCTTGTTGTGTTTGTGTTTCCTTCTTGGAGACTGACTTTCTCCTGCCCTTGGCAAAAAGGCTGGCCAACAGATCAGGCTTTTCCTACTTACTCATCCCATATTCCAGGGGTCTCCAACCTTGGCAACTTTAAGACTTGTGGACTTCAACTCCCAACGTTCCTCAGCCAGC